ATAGTTGTTTGTGTCTTATAGAAAGATCAGCTCCATCAACTTCTTCCGCAAAGGCACTTTGACAGAAAACATCGGTAATGGACTTTTTGTTTGTTTTTATGATATTGAGTACACGCCCCAGGAGTTTGAGAATACGCTTCGTTAACGAATTGGTCTATTAGTTCGTCGGAAAATAAGGTTTACAGTCATATTATATTACTTGATCGCTCGATTGGCGAGAAGTGCCATGATGCTTTTGTTCAGTTCGTTTGCAGCTCTGTGTGTTCTTAATTTTTGCTTCGAAGTAATTCTCTCATTTTCTTGTATGACTTCTTCTGGGTGAGATTCAGTGTTTTTTTCTGAAGAAAACTACATTTGAGAAAACGACGTTAACAAGTATTTTCCCTTGGTTTTGGTATAATATAGTAGGTACTAAGTTTACCACATGTTTCTGAAGAAAACACATTCTCTACTCCAGAACAAAAAACAATATTTATCGAAGCGCGTTTCGCTAAATGGTGCCAAGTTGGCACCATCTGTTTTTGAAGGCCATCAATTAATGAATTGAATCCTAGTAATAATCTCTAGTATCCCAATTTTGTATGTATTGAATATTTGATTGCTTTCTATTTCTACTTATTATGTAGGAGAATGAATAATAACAATGGACTATTTCCGGATGGCATCTTTATCGCTGTTCATGAATCTCATTCCAGATTTTTCGATTTATAAGTCTGTTATCATGTATGGGTCTCATCAATTTCTAACATTTTTCACTTATTCTGCGACTGTCCTCGTAGGCAACTCAAAAGACCCTATGCTCAAGTTATATGTTCAATTTTTCGAAAATTCGGACCAATCCATTGGTGTATTGCGATTCATATGAAAAAACTCAAACACTTAAAAAAAAGTAGAACGGGACAAGGAATATATCTGAAAAGTTTGTACCATTTGTAAACATTTTTTTTACTCAGAGTACAATCATCGTATGCCACTATCAACATCTCAAGTATTTTTGAGGTCTCAGTTCCATTTTTTATACAAAATTTTATGAAAATTATCTGATCTGATCGTCGATCGAAAATCGACGAACACCCAAAATACTTTAAACTTTTATACCTGTCACCAACAAACTAAACATACTAAACAGTTAAAACTGTAAACGTATATTCGAAACGAGTGTACCAACATAAAATAATCGTTAATCGAGTACGTAGTTCGCGAAATTTGAAACTTCACCTTACTTTTTCAACAGTCAAATTCTGAACCCTCATAGACTTTTCTCATAGCTAATACATTCATAAATTGTAACTTTGATCATTTTCAATTCGATACGTAAACTTTATACTTCTGGATCTGGTGTTGAGATAAGATACAAAATCCTTTATTTTACTCCTACTTGTGTCAAAAATGGCAAAGACATAATCTACGTATTGAATTCAAACTCATAGACAGTAGTCTAACTTATTTCTTGCTTAGGCCCAATTCATACAGAACGGACGTCTGAAGGAGACGAGGCTTCAGCATGGCAGGGAAATGGTGGTCCATCAACAACTATTGAACGAAGTGAATGTGATTTCATAATTGAAAAATAAAAATATTGAAAGAAGTGTTAAGTTGTTATTCTAGTTAAACCTAAACCATAAAATATGTTGAATTTCATTGTCTGGTTGAGATACGTTGACGACACCTTCATAATATGGAACCATGGGAATACTGAACTAGACGCCATCCTGAAACACATCAACAGCCTAAGACCTTCCACCTCTTTCACAATTGAGAAGGAAGTCCACAACGAATTGCCATTCTTAGACATATTGGTGAAGAGGGCCGACACTAAGTGGGAAATATCTGTATAGCGAAATCGACTGAATGAGGAATCATCAGGACTCTATTAGACCGTGCTTCCGGGCTCTGTAATACGAAGAAAGGTCTCGAAAAGGAACAAATCATCATCAAAAATGATCTTCAACGGAATGGCTACTCCAAAGCGATGGTGGAGGAGACTTGGGCTAAAAGACAGCAATACCCTCGTAAGGAAGAGAAACCGCCACAACCAGTGCTTGCAGTTTCCTACATCAATCAGAGGACTATCGGATAGGATAAGAAGAATTGGATTCAAGTACATTATCAGAACCTGCTTCAGATCCGGAAACACTATCCGTCGCAGCCTCGCCAAAACCAGTCCACCAAAGGCGGACTGCGATTCCAAGAATTGCATTCACCTGATACCCTGTAAGTGCGGAAAATCTTATATCGGTGAAACTTAGAGGTTTGCCGAGCGAGAAGAGAAACTAGCAAATCAGGAATAGCAGAACAGCCGAGATCATTCAGAGGGAGGAACACTGGTTTAGGAGGAGATTTAAAGAAGCCCCATTCATGTTGTCCAACAATGTATTCAGCCAAGCTAACGTAGAGATACGCAACATATGGAAACCCATAATCATGCGAAAAATGGTCAACTCCCGCTAAACGGTCATCTCCCATCAAACTGGTGAAGCGGAGAAAGGAAAGCGAAGATACGTGAAAGTATTCGAATGACACATGACACTCGGAGAAATTAGTCCAGTCATCACTCGAAGACGATTGTGGATACTATCAATCGAAACGCCGTGAAGTAACTTGGTTTGGAATCTCTTAACTTTTTATTTTATTTTTTGTTCAATTGTTCTATTTTCTTACTTGTATTTTATTTCCCTATTATTTTAGTTCAGGTTTTTTTATTTAAAATAATTGTAACTTTCAGCCATTCTATTTTAATTAGTTCTTTCAATGATTTCAAATTATTTTATACAATATCAGACAATGGAACTCCGAACTAATGAAATTCATCTTGAAACATTGTCGATCACCTTCAAACAAACATAAAATATGTTCATCTGATATTGGTGCTCCAGTAAAACCAACTATTCAAGGGACGCCAGAATGGGGGCCTTAGCTGCAGACAATGCAGAGATAGAAAGAACAGAATATTTTACATATATTTTCCCAGAAGAAAAAATCAAATGGCCCAAAAGAAGAGTGTACAAACTAGTACAACAGGAAACAAGATAGAATGTTCGAATAGATTTGATAAAAATATGGGAGTGAAAACAATTGACCTTAGAGGCTGTCGTGTCTTCTTCCAGTAATTCCAAATAAATGAATAAGTTCGGTTCACATCCTGATCGAAAAATCAATTTTAGGAATATTCCTTTGGACTGTTCACGAATAGGCATTTCCAGAATAGACAATGAATTTCATCAACGAAAATATTTCAGTATTGCGGCTCCGTCAAATATTATACATATCACGTAGATAATATTTGATTATCGATTATAATTGAATCTGCAGAGCATTCTCTGTTTTGATAAGATAGATATATGGCACGTCGTCAAATTCAGACAGTATATCCTGTTATGCATGAGTTCGCAATTAATTTAAATTCATTATTGCATACATACAATAACATGTCACATAATAATACATACCCCATTATCTAAATATACTCCAGATCCACAGGAGTATCACTGTCAATAATAATGTCTGTAATGCGATCATACTGGATAGTTGAATTTCGTATTAGGTAATTTATGTTATCCGTCTTATTACAGTAATTATATCAATAACCTAGTAATTATCTTTATCTGATATGAGATAGGTATGCTTAGATCCATTCGATAATGTTAATGATTTCTCCAAATCACTAGCTTGACTATCCAATATGTTCGTTTTCCAATATGTTAANTTTTTTTTTAGTTTTGCTTATATGCGCACTCAGTATTTTTGACCATTTAATAAATTTTGTTGTAAGTTACATTCGTTTAATAATCACCCGCCAACTTTTTTTTCCCTAAAGCGATCTGAAAAAAATTATTGCCATTTTTAAAAATATCCCTAGACTTTTCCGATGTGTGTATTTATCATCAATGGTTATAGATGAGTGAAGAGCTGGACAACCAGAGAATTCCAAATAAACTATGTTCCAATGAAAATGTTTATGGTACTCTCTGGCTATCAACAGAGGTGCACCTATCATGATACATATTTTGTAGGTTTCGAAACGGTTCGAGTTCAGACTGTACTAAACGCGACAAAAAAATCTAAATGAACAGTTACTTCATCACTGCTATTGAAAACACCTTTAGAATAGTGATATCGAGAAACACTCAGGATCTCAGATTGTTGCTTATGAGATTTCTAAGGTCTTTGACGGTATTTGGAATGAAAGTGTTTCTTCTAACAAAATTTGCCACATTTTTTGAGGAATTGTCTCTAAAAAGTTGTCGTCAAGGATTATCTTTCGGATACCTGTTTGAGAACGCTGGTGTTCCTCAGGGCTCAGTTTTGTATTTAACATTTTTTGTATTGTACATCAGAGACGGATTGGAGTTTGGATCATGTAAAGTTAGGCTGTTATATCTCTTCTATGGCACAGGTCCGAAAAAGAGAAAAATACAGTTGATGATTGTTTTTGAGTTCAGCTCATAACTCCTCGATCTATTCAAAAACGTATCCAGTATTCTTGTTCATAAACCTGAATGAGATCATTATATCTAGGACTACTGTATCATGTATTCTGGGAAAAAATCAAGATCAAACATGAGTTTTCAAAAATATCCTTGATGAAATTTCAATATAAAAAATCCTGGAAGATTGCATAGTTAATATCATTTGATGAAAATTACAATATTAAATATTTATTATCTACTTTTATTCAACAAAGTTTGTATCCTTGATCTAAAACATTCTGTGCATATACAATAGATAATTCGAAAAGCCTGAATGATATCACAATTGTGATTGAATGCTTCATATATCCTATGTCTTATGTCCTATATATTCAATGTTGAGTTTAGAACCTCGTTGGTTTTCTGGAGAAGTTATTTTGAAAATTCTAGATATCGCAGACCTCCCATCTGAACACTGAACATTGGCAGTAAGCTTAGTTGAAATTCATTTCATACGATTGAGAAGGATCGTCAAAGAACTATTTCTGAGGGATAGAATGTTATATTATCACATCAAAAATGTGTAGTCGCCATGTGAAATCTGTATATTCGACTGAAATGTTATATAGCAAAGAATTTTTTCACTTCTCTCGATTCGTTCGACATTTAAATTATATTGGGGATTTTAAATACCCAATAAACAGCAAAGGCTTTACGTAAGCATAGAAAAGATTTAGAGGGTAGTCTGAAAGTTTTGACAACTTTGGAAATATAATATTATTCTGTTGCATCTATCGACTATATTTTTTGCAAGAAAATTAAAAGCTTTGATGAGTACTTACTTTTTTTGTTTTCAACATTTCAGATGAGAATATAAATATATTATTTTTCAGATGTCTCAGTCCAAGGTCAGCGTATTTTTACGAGTTCCCTCCAAATGGTAAGTACTCTAGACATATTTTATCATGTACAGACCGATTGCATTGACTCAATCATGTTTTCAAATATTCTTTATGAGAGTTAATAATCGAAAAGTTTACAAAACTACTCTCAATCAACTTGAGAAAGCTGTTGTAAGCGAAACACACATAAAAACAAGGAAGAAATTCTTGTGTTGAATTGACAGCTAATTATTTTACTTTTCGTATTTTCCTCTACGGTTCTCATATTCTCTCAATTTTCTTTACTATTTTTTAATGTAACCACCATTTAGTTCATTCTCATCATTTTTCTCAGTTAGTTTGATGACAAAACTGTTGACTCACGAATACACACAGACTCACAGTCAAATCAAGTCAAACATAACTTGAATTTCGATGACACATGTGAATGTGCCGGCCATTACTAATACAATATAAAAGTTGTGTTGACGTCTATTGTTGGATATGTCCCCCGACTTGTGTTGTACAATCAATCGTATTTGTTAACACATAATGTTAATATATTCTTCCAATTGTTTTTATAACATCATTGCGTCTTAACCTTATTTTTTTCCTTTGTTAATTGCTTTTACTATGTATCCCACAACAGTCACGAGTAATTGAGTTGTTTTTTGGAAAAACAAATTGAGAATCATCGAAGTAGTTATTTGTTTCAAAATAAGTTGCTGGCCTATGCTGATATTTTCCGAGGATCTCCAAAAATGTACTGATTATCGATATCAGGCGATAGTTATCAATAAGTGATTTGTCACCCTTGTTATGAATTGAAATTAGGTTAATAAGCTCTGCAACCGGTAGTAATATCATGTCATTGGTATTGGGAGCCGTAAATTTTTTTAACTGATATAATTATTCACAGTCTAATACTCGCGGTAGAGAGATTATCATATTTTCAGCGATTCCTACAAAAAAATTATTGAAGTCATTAGGGATCCTATCCATTTCTGATAGATTGAGCCCATTCTTGTTCCTCTCATAGTTCACAACTCGCCAAAAGGCTTTCGATTTATTTTTTGCAGATATCAATTGTTTTCATATTTAGATCTGAAATTTTTATAGATTTTCTAGTGATGAATAAACCTCCTAATATTACAGATGGATTTAAGCTTCAACAATTTTTTCATTTCTTTGAGAGAGTTTTATACCACGATACCGTCTTCCATTATTTTTTTTCAAAGGAAATATGCTTTCAACATTTGCATAAGAAAATTTGCCACCGTAATAGTATAGAGCATCGGAGAAAGGTTAGAGACCTGTCTCTCTTTCAAAGAAACTTCCACGGGATGTGTTCAAGTGACTTGGCACATTTGATTCCACCAAGAGCGGTACATATCAGAAATACGCGACCGACTGTGACTGCTCATCGTTTTGAAGTTCAACTCAATACACTTCGAACTCCACTGTTTAAGAACTATTTCATTTGGAGAACTACGTTTATGTGGAATAAACTTCCTGAGAAGTTACATCTCTGGATGGAAACCCCAAAATATCAATAAACACTGAATGAAAACTTACAATGAGTGAAATATGTCAGATGCCATCTTATTTCAATAGGATCAACCCCCAATATGTTGTTAACGCCAGTATTTTGTCTTTTCTTCTATGAGAATCATATAACTTTAACATTTTTGATGATTCCTCATACATTTGGTTGTCTACAACTGAACCCTCGAGGAAATAAACTGACAAATACAATATCCTAGTTTTGTATATCATTGTCAAACTCACTTCACGTTTTCGAGAAATTTGCTTTAAGCATTCCTGTTTGATGGTCAAAAAATTGAGCGAATTCTATTACTGCAACACCCAAGTCAAAATTAATTTCGCAGATCAAAGTTTAACAAGTCGAACTACGCTTATAACAGAGGTAATATAATAGAAGATGCTTCAACAAATCAACGTTGAAATGAGTACGTTATACTTAGAGACGATTAAAATCAAACAAACTACGATGTACACAGAAAACAATCAACAGAGTTGCTAGTTAGAGAGTTGTTCTGTGAGCATCTCTCTATACAACTGTTTGCACACACACATACAAAGTTGGTCGGATATATGCTTTGAGGAATCTGTGCATGGGTATGTCAGGTTACCTTTAAATAATGTACATTCGGATAAATTCTGTTTGTTATTCCAACCAAGGGCGTGACCGAAACGTGGTCAGTACATTCCCTATTTCGATTCATTTCATAAAATTAAGATTGACTTATGCTTGCCAGAATTCGACTGAGATAAAGAGTAACAATTATTTTTGGGAAAGGGTGGCCTACTGGTTCCCAGTAGGCAATTCGCTTCCCACTGGTTCGGCGATACGCTATCTCTTTCGAAACACTAAGCTCGGATACCTGTACTGCATACAGTTGTGTTAACTACAGTATACATGAATGAATGAATGAATGAATGAATAAATAATTAAAAATTAAATATGTCTGACAGTGATAACTGAGAAAGTGAAAGTGAGCAGCCTCCTGCAAATAAAGCAAAGACACACTACGCCACACTATCAAGTCATCAGTTAGTTAATTATATTTTCATATCTTAATAATCAAACTGTCAGCAAATGTAAAATCTACTTTCTTAGACATCCCGTGACGGCTCGCAATTATTTTTTCATGTTTTTTGCAATTGATATAGTTGATTTCATAAACAAGTATTGCTAATAAGCCAATAAGTTGTGATTATCGTTCTCCACTCCCTTGATAATTCTCTGAAATGCCCTGAATTTCGGAATATGTCAAATTAACAACTTTCCACACACCTAGTCTCTCTGATATATCCCTTCTAAAGTTTCCAAGCATCGATAAAAACGTGAAATGTTCCAACACAAATGCAAGGAAATCATAAACCTATCTAGCTGAAAGTAATTTTCAGAGTTCTTTGAAGATCTAAGAAGTTCGATGAGATAATGAGAATTTTCAGCAGTTCAGGATTGTGATAAAACTTTCAGTTGAATGAAATGTTACTTTTATTTTTTTTAATCCAGCCAACTTATTGTCACGGCCCAAAATGCTCGCGAGTTGGGGGTTAACTCAGATGGTAGGATTTACAAAGAAATAATAATCATAGTTTATTGAAATGAAAGTACAACAGAGCCCTCAACAATGGCACGCTTTTTCAAAAATATAATCTAACAGGGCAACAACAAGCCGAAGGTACATTTTCAGGGGTGATGCATCTGTTCTCTTAAGAAGGTAGCTGAAATGCTCACACACTCTTGTTCCCGATTTTAGGTCGGAGTCTAATATTGCCAATCAGCATTATTGCATTATCGCTAATGGCCGAATATCATAACTATATTTAGGTAAATGAATTTTTATTGGATCGATAATTACAGTGCGGTGCACCGAGGCTATAAATTTGGAAAATAAAATATTTTCAGAAATTAACATTTTTGACAATTTGGCTTTTGACATTTGTAGAATATTTTGAAATCTGGCGTCCATTCGAGTTTGACAATTTTGAACGATGATTTTTAATAAACCTTTTTCCTGAAGTACGAAAAATCACTCACTAGCAGCGCTAGTAGTTCGGTAGGGACAAACACTGCCTTACATATGGTAAAGTACAATTAAAAAAGAATGTTTTTAACAGAAGAAAATGTTCCTGGAGTGAATCTAAAATTTGTTTTTTATATCAGATTTATATTTTTGAATAATAAATTAATATTACGTAAATAACACTGTTTTACATGTGGATAGTTTATTGTTTGTCCCTACTACTAGTGCTGCCTCTCGTGATACGTTTGCTGTACTATTCTCAGGAAAAAGGCTCATTAAAGTTATATGATGATACGGTATTTTGAGGGAATCATTGAGCCAGTGGGTTGATCATATGTGTAGTGAGCTTTATGGAAAAACTGCGGTAATATATGGAGAAGGGGAAACTTTTGAAGGACGAAAAAAAAAATAAAAATATTGAAGCTTATTATTCAAAAAGTTGTTAATCTTTTCCAATACAAAGTTTCAGTAATTAGGTTCCGATTTTATAGTTTGCCAAATCGTTTTTATTCATCAGTATCCAGCTCTCTTGAAGATTATTCTCCTTCAGTCACCTCTTCAACATCGCTCTTGTTCATATTATCTTCAACTCCTTCTCTATTGTACATCAATAACATATTGAAAAATACCAGAAGTCCAATATATTGTTTTGCTGACTGACCTTTTTTTACTTAGATGCCAGGTTATCAGCTGTCAATGTAATTCTACGTCGACGACAAAAATATTCATATCTCAATGAAGACTACAGCATTTTTTTTAGTTTCTGTTGACAATTAACCAAGTAAAATGTAATTTCAGACCAAAAAATCCCAAGGTTGAATTTTCTCTAAGACGGTGTAGCAGAACCTGACATTTCGATGAAATGTATTGAGCGTTATATTAAATACCAATATATGACAAAGACAACTTCTCAGAAACACTTTTTCAAATTAGAAACATTCTACAGAAACTATAGAAGAACAACTCAGTAGCACTTGTGCTAACTAAGTTGAACTTCGCCTTTTGTTATGTCAGCAACTAGCTCTCTAATTTATTTAAATATTTGTATGTAACTACAGCTGGGTAACAATAAAGACGATTATTATTATTATTAATGATAATGCTTTATAATACTCAAATTAGACCTTTGGAATATTTCTTATATATGTGGAAATCCGCTACTAGAAATCCGTCTGATTGGAGATCTGAATTTCACAACTTCAATAATCTGGAAGATTGAAGTTAGGAATTTTTTTTCGCAGATATTTTTTTGAAAAGTGAACGACCGACAGCCTGCTTGATTCTATACCCTGGGACTTAGAACTCCCCATTTCTTCGTGTTTCAACTATATAATTAAATTTCAAATTACCATTTTCACAGACTCTCTGATGTAGAGAATAGTGTCCTTGCGAAAGGAACTTTTCGGAATCATTTTTTAAAACGAATGTAACATAAAACGGTGCACATCCAGCATGGATAGCCTCTTTTGATCAGGCCCTTTTTCGAGTTTTTTAAGGATTTT